GCTGTCCAATAAGTTTTGCGGTTCGATAAGAGCGGAGGTTGCTACTAGCCTAAATTTTTTTTTGTTATGTTGGTACACTCTTCATATGAACGTATGTAAAGTTTCATTTTAATCTGTTAATTCATTCTTTGTTTACAAGCCATTTAGTATCGACATGTAACAGTATTTTTTTACATTGGAAAAATCAAGTAGCGTGCAATGATTGAATTTTTATTTTTGAAAGGCTTAAAAATAAAGAAAATTTATGAAGGAATTTTGAAAGTGTATAAGGACTCTTCGTCTTCAATCAGACGTCCAAAAACAGCAACAACACCGGAAATCGTAGAAAAAATACAGGATATCRTATYGGAAAATCGTCGAGTGACTGAAAGATATTTAGTAGAAGCCCTAGGMATCTCATTGGGCAGTGTAAGCAATATTTTGACTGAAGTATTGGTTTTCAAGAAGCTGTGTGCACAATAGGTGCCACATTCGTTAACAATGGAAATAAAACACATTCGAATGCGACTTTCTCAGCAACATTTAGAGCGTTTTCGAAAGGATAAAGTGGATTTTATGCGTCGATTCATACCTATGGATAAGACTTGGGTCTATCACCATGATCCTGAATCAAAACAAGAGGCTAAAGAGTGGTGTATACCTGGTTCTTCGGCTCCGAAACGAATTCGTGTCCAGATATCGRCGAAGAAGGTGTTAGCATCAGTTTTCTAGGATGCGAAAAGAATTTTGTTTGTRGATTACTTGCAAACTAGTAAAACAATAAATTCTGAATATTATTGTAACCTTTTAGACCAGCTGAAGGAACAAATTTGTGAAAAATGACCCGGTTTTCAGAAGAAAAAAATCCTTTTTCATCAAGACAATACACCGTGTCACAATCTCGACTATAAGACGGGTGAGGCAGAATTTCTCATCCACTATTATCCATGTAGTTTTTGACCGGAGCAGCAACATGTGGCCAAGCGTTGTCGTGGTGAAAAATTACGRACTCGTGCCTGGTCTGATATTCTGGCCGTTTTTCCACCAATGCCCRCTTCAAACGAATTAGTTGGGCTCGATAAAATGGTCCTTTGATGATTTGACCACTCGGAAGCAGTTCGTATWTGACACCTTTCTGAACCTACCATATGCAGAGCATGACCTTATTTATGTSAATATTTCACTTCGGCGTCGATTTAGCCGGCTCGCCAGGYTTTTCATATGTTTTTTTTGCGTTTAGGATTATCATAATAGATCCCCTTYTCGTCACCAGTGACAAAAAGATGCAGAAACGACTTTTTTTTATGCYGCTGCAGCTACATTTCTGACATGAAAAATCGCCGTTCGACATCTCTCTGCTTCAACTCGTACAGCACCYAATTTCCAACTTTTTGGATRAATCCCAAAGCTTTCAGGCGCAGTGAAATGGCTTGTTGTGTAACGCCTAATGATGCAGCAAGCTTTTCTTGAATTTGACGCGGATYCTCATCCCGCAAAGCCTCCAATTCTTCGTCTTCAAAATTTGTCGGCTTTCCRGAGCGCTCCTTGTATTMAWCATCRAAATCACTATTTTTGGACCGTTTGAACCACTCACGACACGTTAATTCACCAATACATTCCACCCTGTAAGTTTCCAGAAGTAAACGATAGGCCTCARCTGCACTTTTTTTTATATTAAAGAATGGAAGCAGTGCTTTCCAAAAATGACGCTTTTTTTGGCGCAAATAAATCGGTTCATTGGTGGAAAAACGACCAGAATAACAGACCACGCACGAGTCCGTAATTTTTCAACACGACAACGCTTGGCCATTTGTTGCTGCTTCGGTCAAAAACTATTTGGATAATAGTGGATGGGAAATTCTGCCTCACCTGCCTTATAGTCCAGATTTGGCGCCATCCGACTACCACTTGTTTCGGTCGATGCAGAACGCTCTTACCGGAATGCGCTTCATTTCAGTATAGGGAATCATAAATTGGCTCAATACGTTCTTGGGCTCAAAAGACGAGAACTATTTTTGATCTTGAATTCACAAATTGCCAGAAAGATGGGAAAAAATTGTATCTTCCGATGGACAATATTTCGAATAAAAAATATGTAACCATTTTTTCAGAATAAACCCTTAAATTTTATTTTAAAAAAATGCTAGAAACTTACTTGTAGACCCAGTATATTATTAAGAAATGACCTCAGAATTAAAAGATCATGTAAAAATGTAACTATTAGGGTTGCTAACACGATTTTTTGGAAAATTGAGTTAGGCCAATTTCGAAATAAACGGCTAAGATATTTATTAAAAAACTAATTTAACTGGAAATCATGTTCATCYCTATTATACAAATAGTAAAATATCAGTCAAATATGATCGAAATAAAAACGAATAATTTTATTTATTCGCGTATAGTCAAAAACCGGATATACAAATAATATCATATC